TTTGTTTTTTGACATGGAAATACTACCGGAATTGATTTCAAACTGTTACTATTTGTTTGGCAGGTAATTTGCATTAATTCATCACTCTTGGAAATTAGAAAATGTGTTCTGAAGTTACAAAATCATATGTCAGATCTCACCTCACCTCAGACCCTTGACACTTTGTGTTGTCGGGGGGACCTGAGGGCAGAAGAAGCAGATAACCTTCTCCAAGAAGTTCAGTTGGCGCCTATCGAGAGCAGCTCTGTAAGGGTCATCTCTGTCCAGTCCCTGATGTTGTCGGACCAGCTCTTCCTTTAGCACCCGCGTTTCCATCCTCCTTCAACACTGCCTTGTAGAATGGTTTGGAGAGGGTGTTGTGCCTGGTGACGTGGCCAAACCAAGCCAGTTTTGGACATCTGGCAGTTACCAGTATGGGTTCTTGGTTGCCCACAAGTGAACTGACTAAGTTTCTTACATAGTCATTGGTTTTGTGTTCTTTGTAGTAAATGCGGAGCAGCTTTCTCAGGCATCTGGTTTCAAAGGTCTGGATCCTTCTTTCTGTGTCTGCCAGTAGTGTCCATGTCTCGCACCCGTACAACAAAATGGAGACAATCAGTGACTTGTAGAGCATGAATTTTTCTTGGAAGCTGATGTTACTTTTCCATTCCCTGTTGAGTCCGGCCATTGCTGCACTGGCTGTGGCGAATCCTTGTACAAATTTCTGCTGTGCAGATGCTGTCCTTCGTGAGTGTGGCTCCCAAGTATTTGAAGGCTGTTACATCTTCAAGGAGCTCGCCGTTCAAGGTGATCTTTGCACTGATGGTTTTCCTACTGTTCACCATGATTTTTTATTTCTCTGCGCTCACTTCCACGCCATATGTGTTGGATCTGTCCACTAGTCTTTAAGGTCTTGCAGCTTGCTGTTGGTGCCCCCCATGAGATCAGTGTCGTCTTCAAACCGGAGGTTGCAGACTGGTTTGCCACCGATGGATATGGAAGTGTGATGGTCTTGGAGTGTTTCTTGCATTATTCTCTCAAGAAACAAGTTCAAGAGAATGGGGGACAGGAGACATCCCTGCCTGACACCGACTGATGTTTGGAAAAGTTCTGCCACCTGGTCGTTAAGAAAAACTACACTGTTTGCCTGTTCGTAGAGGTCCTGGATGGTTTGCATGAGCCCTTTCTCAATGTTGAAGCCTCTTAGGATGTGCCAGGGACCGTAATGCTACACCCAGTTAAACGCTTTCTTAAAATCAATGAAATTGTGGAAAGGGTCACACTGATGATGAAGATGTTTTCCTATGAGGATTCTGCAGTTGAATATCTGCTCCATTGTGCTCTGGCCTGGTCTAAAACCTGTTTCAGGCATGGGAATCTTTCCGGTTTAACCTGGAATTCCGGTTTTTTCACCTTCAAATTTGTGGTCTTCTAGTTCAGTGTAAACATGGAATAAAATTTGGGGGGCAAGTTGTAGGGGGGTAAATGTTACTTGATGACGCGGCACTCAAAACTTGGTGAAATTTGTTCGTTGAAACAATTCTGTTTACACGACGCTTCAGGACCCTTCAAAATGTAAGAGGAACTACTTTTGCGGATTCCCACAAAACCTGAATTCTCTTTGCGTAACCAAAGGAGGGAACCAGTGAAGAGTGCTGTCGCGAGCTCGCGTTTCGCCACAGCCACTTTGTGTGAATGCCCGGTGTCCACAAACATCCGTCTCTGTAAAAATCAGACTCTTACCTGTTATTGGTTAATTCCTCTCACATGACTGGCCATTCTCCTAATTATACATACGCATGCACATTACTCCGAATGGGTCTGTATTTCATAGAGGCATAAATTCTTGGCAGCGCTGCAAGACTCGAGGCAGCATGGCCAGCTGGCCATGTGCGAAGTGGCTTTTGGAAATTGTTGCATGTTCATGTACTGTACATGGTCGAAGTGCCGCTCTGTACATAGGTACACACATGAAGTCAGGAAACAAAATCGAAATCATCGCAGAAGGAAAGAACTTAGAGCTCGTTGAGTGGGGGGCTGCCGATCTGAAAGAGATTGATATATCGGTAAAATACAAGTGGAACTGGTCGTGGTGTGACAAATTATTACTGGCTGAAACGGAAGATGAGCATGTGGTGGGCGACTGCTTTCATAAGCTTTACAACCCTGGAGAAGCATGGTGTGAATGGTGTTGTGTTCGTATCAAGTACGGTACTTCTGGAGGGATAGCATTGATACAGCATGATGCAGCTAAGTACTAGAAGCACCGCAAACACTTCCGTGAAAGAAGAATGAACTACATCACAGGTTTTACAAGTCCAATTAATTATTAAAACAAAATTAGAGTAATTTTTTTTAAATGTCCTTATAATTGAGAAGATTTTGCTTCAGTAAATTAGAGGCAAAGGGGCAATGAATTGCCTCAGATTGCACCTCAGCGCATCTAGAATCCAAAATTTTCCGGAGCCCTTAGGCGGGCCCTGGACCCCACGTCGTAGGGGCTTCACACTCCACACTCACAGTAGTCTCCCCTTGATTAATTTCATCAGAAAATATTTGCAGGTTTTTGTTCATGTCCATTCACATGCCTGCTATTTGTTCTTCGGATAGCATTTCCTCAGATTTTGGTTTCAGTCGGTTGAGGATCACCTGGAACATGTCTTTACTGGGGTTGGCTGATCAGGCTGATTGTTCTATAGTTTTGGCATAGTCTGAGATTGCCTTTCTTTGGTAGTGGTATTACCAGGGACTGCGTCCACTCCCTTGGCCATTTTTTTTCATCCCAGGTCTTCTTGCAGAGTATTGTCTTCTGGCAGAGTATTGTCTTCTGGTAGAGTATTGTCTTCTGGCAGAGTATTGTCTTCTGGTAGAGTATTGTCTTCTGGTAGAGTATTGTCTTCTGGTAGAGGATTGTCTTCTGGCAGAGTATTGTCTTCTGGCAGAGTATTGTCTTCTGACAGAGTATTGTCTTCTGGCAGAGTATTGTCTTTTGGCAGAGTATTGTCTTCTGGCAGAGTATTGTCTTCTGGCAGAGTATTGTCTTCTGGCAGAGTATTGTCCACTGGCAGAGTATTGTCTTCTGTCCAGAGTATTGTCCT